CGTTTGCACTGTGCCTGCCGCCCCCTTTCTGGCCAGAGCATCACAGGTTGCTAAGAGCCAGGTGGGGAGATGTGTAAGGGCCATACACATCTGGGCAGGGAGATGATGCAGAGGCCCCCCTCCCCAAAGGGCCACCTCAGGCAGGCGAAAATGCTAGGTATGCCCATGAGCAGGACCAATATATATTATAATCTGTAGTCTTAGCCAGTCCCAAATTAAAGGTGTAGGAATGGTCTCTGTACAGTCATAAATCTTATGCTTCAAGGTAAAATTACTATCAGAGAGGGGTGGGGGTGCTACTGCAAGTATAAAATGCAGGCACCGAAAGCTTTGACACTTCTGGTTTGTGCCAAAGCTTGCCCGCCCCTTCCAACCTCCTCTACATTCCTATTGGCCAGTTAGGCTGCCCATCATAGTGATGAGCCAGTCAGATTGTGTGTAGGTGGGGCTTAGCAGTGAACGCTGACACTACCTGGAAGCTTTGCCTGATAGAATGCCCCCGGATTTGGCCATAACAGGATGGTTTGGGAGGTGGGTATGTGCAAGATCCTCTAGATCAGGGGTAGCCAAAGTTTGGCCCTCCAGCTGTGGTGAAACCAGAAATCCTATAGGGCAGTGGTGGCGAACCTTGGCACTCCAGCTGTGCCAAAACTACAAATCCCAAGATGCATCTGCCTCTGGGCGTTATGTCTGTGGCTGTCAGAGCCTTGCAATGCCTCATGGGACTTGTAGTTCCAAAACAGCTGGAGTTCCAAGGTTCGCCATCACTGCTATAGGACATTACAAGACTCTGGCAGACACAACATGACTTCCGGAGGCAGAGGCATGATTGAGGTTTGTAGTTCCATTACAGCTGGAGCACTGGAGTTTGGCTACCTCTGGATGCTTGTATGCCATGCTTGTATAATCCCCCCTCTATATTTATCCAGCAGAGTCTCTTTAAAGATGCTGCTTCATGATGCAGAAAAGAGAGACAGTGCGTGTGTTAGTTTAAAATCCGTATTTGGCAGCCTTATCTTTCAAATATCAAAATACACGGTGGGATTGGATGGATCTATAGCCAGTGATGAAGACACGTTATCCCCCTCTACTCTGACATTCCTAATGATGACAGTGTAACTTTACCATCTGATTGTTCTATTCTACATTTTGGGTAAGGAGCTTTATTGGGGTCATGGTATTTTTCTATAAAATGGCTGCACAGGTTGAGAGTTGTTTTGTCGTTTTAATAGTGGAAAAAATCCTCCATGATCCATTCAGTTTAGGATTTCTAAATATGACATATTTATCTGCCAGTGTTATATAATCTGCATAATAATTTATGATCACTATACTCGATTTGCATACGTTAGTAGATTAGAATATGAAATCTTAATGTTTTTCGTTGGTTACCATATAGCACCTGAACACAATTTACACTTAAGGCTGAACTCCGGGATAAGCAAATATTGTCTAATTACAAGAGACACGTGTAGTGTTACTTGAATCTAGATGAACTTTGTGTATTTCTTTCAGATCTGTGCAGTAATCCAGTGTGATACTTTGCCTTCCTGTAATAAAGACCAGTCACTGCTGCTCTCTCTCCTTGTGCAGGGTGACTGGTCATGTCTCCACCCCCTCCTGTACTTTTCTGCCAGCAGCTTGTAGTGGGTGGGGCCTGCTGGGTCCCTCCCACAGCTCTACTCTCTGTACAGGCTATGTGCAGCACAGTGATCATGTCACCGCAATTTTTGCATGGTAATAACAAGGTGTCCAAAGGCATTTGGTGCACACAAAGTGCATTTATATTCATTGTGGCTATTTAGGAATATAATTCAATTTTAGATTTTATGCCCAGAGTTCAGTTTTAAGTTATGGAATGTGGGCTAACATAAATGACTATGTATACATTTCAGGAATTACTTTTATTTATGTGTGCTTTTTTATGCCACTATATGCTCTATAGAATAATTTTATGGCTTATGTCAACATTTGCCGCATGTCTCTCAAAGGATCATCATAAAGATGAAACCCATAGGACTTTGCCTCCTTCCTTGGTGCACCCTGAAACCCGTAAGACACCCTACGATGCTCCTTTGCTCCTTCCTTCACCTCCAAAAACACCAGCCTCCTTCCAAAAGACACATGTGAGTATGCACTTTTCTTTTACAAAGTTTTTATTAGAGTTTACATGAGAGAACAAAGAAATCAATAATTGTAAATAAAGGGAACACCATACAATCAGCATACTATATTGATTGAAAATAAATATATAAGCTAACACAATTTTTCTCAGTTAGAGCGGTTAAAGTCTGGAATTCGCTGCCACAAGCAGTGGTCTCAGATGAGAGTATTGAATCAAACCGCATGTAACCGCACCATGTCCATGCGGACTGGCACTGACAAATGTGGCTGCTGTCACCCTGTAGTTTGCTTTGATGGGTACAGCAAACGCAGGAGACATGACCAGTCACCCTGAACAGGGACACCTGTGATTCCTGCCGGAGGAATCCATAGGTTCTTACAGCCGGAATGCCAGAACACGTTCTGTGAATGCAACCGTAAACTGACCCTGTGGCTTGTCCTATAAATGATGATGTATCAGCTGTCATTCAGCAGTGATGCTGATTTACTGACATGTATACCGAGAGACATTAGAGGGAGAATCCACAAATATGTATAGGAAGTAAAATGAATAATAAAAATATACAACAAGCAAGTGTAGCGATAACTCCCGGAGGAGCCGCTGGTGCCCGCTTCACTTCTAGTCGGTCTAGGGGATGATCTTCAGCCGCACACCCATGAGCTCTAACCGCCCTTCTTCTGGTGCCCATAAACTGATGTCCACTCTAGTAGTAAGATGCTAAGTAAACAATGTATGGGATATTCACTTTGGGAGAGAGGGTATAGGGGTTCTATGTGTCCATGGGTAACCATCAGAAGCTCCAGACTCACTGGACCTTGTAGTAGTATCAATATAGATCCACCTAGGAGACATCAGATAACCACTGATGTAACAGACAATCCTCAATCCAAGAAAGATACCGACCATGCTCTGAAGTCCACTTAGTTCAAGGGTACCTCAAGAGCCTGCACTGGTCCTGGTTCTTTTCCTCTTTCATCTCTCAGGTCTCCTCCATGTTGGAGACCTCAGTGAAATCTTTTCCCTCACTCCGGCCCATGCCCACCCCCAGGCCTCGGCCTAGCCTGGGGGGCAGGCTGAGCAGGACCCAGCCCTTATCCATGGCTGGTCCCGGCGAGAGAGAGAGCACATGGCAGCTCCCACCAATATATGTACTCTGTCCCAGCATGCACCACTGGCTGAGAAAAGCCCAGTGATTGGCTGGTGTACTGTACACACATTACAGTATCCATAATTGGCTGTCCCACAATATGACAGAGTCACACTTCGCCCAGGGGGGTACAGGCAAGGCTAGACACCTGAGATTAACCATGTAATTGCCACTACAAATTCAGCCAGGCTGTCTACAGCCCTGGCTATCATTAAATGTATAGTAGTCACATCACAGAAGGTGATGGGCGCTACACAAGTACAGTACAGTAATAACTCAAAATACATTCTCTTTAAAATTATGCTTCTTTTACCTTGGGGGCATAACTGGCCATCAAGAATATATAAAATACAGGATTAAATAAATTGCAAGTACCAAGAGTGGCCACATATGCCCATATTCCTGTTCGAGAGTGATGGGCAGGGAGATGTCTGCTTGTCCCTAAACAAGTTGAGGAGCCCTGGGACCTGCTGTGGTTATCACCTGACAGCAGCATACATGTGATATGATACTTTCTAGTCAGGAGAAACCTTGTCTGATAGTTATTGTATTCTCCCTGATAGGCCAGTGAATCAGGTGTTTGCAATGCATCTCCCTGCCCCTCTCCATACATCTAAACAAAACCAGTTGACCAAAGTGACCATACATGTTTAGGGACATTCTGCACTTATCAGATGCCTGAGGACAGTTGCATTGTGCTTGCATATGTGACCATCCTTTATAGCCCATTAAAACCTGTCCATTGAAGTGCCTTAACGCACATGCCTTTTTAGTGCATTACCATGTTTTGTATTGAGGTGGCTTATTCAACCGAATGGGCTGCCAATGCACCAGAATGGACCGACAATCAGACATGCAACATTTTTTCCAAAGCAGCACTATAATGCATGTACGTCAGTGGTGTGTTGGGTTAATGCATTAGGTTGTAACCACACAGCGCTAATTCAGCCCAGAAGTGTGTTTTATCCTTAGGGTGCATTCATACCTCTCAAGTGCCATACGTAATGCACCAGAATGTAATGCACCAGAACAGAACGTTCTGAATGGGTCCATAAAATCAGTGCCGGCCCTATAATGAGGCAGTTTTTGGGTCACATGGGGGGACAGCAGGCAGAGTGGCATTGCTGCTCAATGTTTGGGGTGTGCCTGTCCCCTCTTTCCAACTAGAACATCCCGTGTTGCTAAGAGCTGGACGGGGAGATGTGTAAGGATCATACACATCTCCCCGCGCAGCTCTTAGCAACCTGGGACGCTCTGGCCGGCATCTCTCCTAGCTCCTGACAACCAATGACAGTACTGGTTGCCAGGAGCTAGACGGGATGCCCCCAAAGCCAGAGCTGGGCAGGGAGATGGTGCAGAGGCCCCCCCCCTCTCCAGTTAGCGTGCACCACCAGCTCCGCCTCACTCATCTCAGGCGGCAAAAAGGCTAGGGACACCATTGCATAACCTCTATGGCAGACTTTACATTAATTCTCAGAGGCAGGAGTATGAAAGGAGTTTCATGTGCTTCCAGCACCTATATTCTGTTACTCTATCAATGACGGGCATAGCAGTTGACTAAAAGTACCAGACAAGCGATTAGATAGACAGACTGAGTGATTACTATCTCTATGCGCCATGCAATCACACTATAACGATTGATCTCTGCTCTTCTTTGTTTACTTTAGTAAATCAGACCAGTGTGTATAATTACACTTCACGTAGTTTGGGCAGAACAGTCACTTTGAATTCTTAGAGTACAAAGGAAGTGAAAACATTGCCCCAAGTAACTAGCTGAAATTAGGTACAAGGAGACATATCCCAGCAAATGAGTAGGTAAAAGTGCACAGTGTATTCAGATAAAGGAAAGTACAGTATGTCCCACAAACTGGCCTTTGTAACAGTGCTAATGATGTTAGAGGAGAGATGTCAGATTAGATCTAAATGCAGATCATAGCAAAGTATGAAACAGATCAGAGAGAAATAGCTCCAGAGAAAATAGTGTAAAGTGTATTTATAGGTAAAAAAATTGTTTTAAGTTAAGTGGGGGAAAGCTAGAACCCCTGTTAGCTTTTTATTGTTGTTGTTGTTGCAGATTTTCCCTTATGTAAAGCGTTGCCCCCAGAACGGAAAGTGAGGGGAAATTTCTCTAACGGAGCCCTGGATAGCAGTAAAACCTGACAGGGGTTCTAACCTTTTCCTGCTCTATCCAAAAAAAAAAAAAAAAGGTTTGGCTATGTTTGCTATTCTTTGCTGGTATTGCTTTTCTGTACTCTAATATTTGCTTCAATGGTTGAATGTGCAAATTTTAGTTGGAACCCTACACGATGAATGGCAATCTTTTTAACCTACTCCATTAAATCTTTTTTTAGGTTTTAGAGAAACCTCCAGCACAAAGAGACCCAGTACATGGGGCGGATAGAGAGAACGGACTCTTACCCTTACCTGGAATGGAGAAGATTGTTGTTACACTCCACTCAGCCAAACATATCCCCTCTAATAGTGCTGGTTCTGTGCCATCCCCATTTGTCAGCCTGTAAGTATGACATCATGCTGTATGGAGGTTCCAAATTAATGGCTGTGGCAGTGGCCATCCCTTTAATGAGGCAGCCTCAGACTGTTGCCTTAGATGGCATATCTCTATGTGTCATGTGGGGGTGCGGTAGGCATAGCGGCATGGCAATGTTTTCTGTCTGCTTGCTGCCCCCCTTTTCAGCCAGAGCATCCCAAGTTGCTATGAGCCAGACAGGGACATGTGTAAGGCCCATACACATCTCCCCGCCCAGTTCTTACCAACCTGGGACGTTTTGGTCGGTGTCCTGCCTAGCTCCAGTTACATCACATGCTTTGCACAGGGCAGCATGCACCACCACCTCAGTCGTCAAAAAGGCTAGGGGCGCCACTGGGCTGTGGCATTCTATATTGTTAACATTCTGAAAATCCCTATTGTGTCATTGCTTTCTGGTAAATTTCCATTAAGAACAAGTTGTATAGAGAAACTTTTTTTAGTTCGATGTGTTTGACAGTTTTCGAATGTTTTACATTTCTTCTGCACTCCAGACCATTCTAATGCACAGCAAGTAGATCAATCGCCAGCAATAAGTGTGAAGCTTCAAACACTTCTGCTCATCCTAAGGATTGCTGCACAAACTTGCACTTTGAATTTATGAAAAATAAATTAAAGGGTTAGCCCACCTTTAATGTGTTTAAAAAAAAATCAATTAACATTACAGCTTACATTGTACTGTATATTAAATTGCTGCCACTTTTAAAAAGTATGCTTACTTTGAGTAATGCTTTCCCGTGGTTTCTCCATCCTGACTACATGGCAGGCCAGACTGACCAATGGATATGTGGCCCCAGCTCCTCATGAAGGAGCACTTGGCTAGGAGAACTCAGTTTGCCTAACTGCACATGCGCAGTTTGCTTTCTCTCACAGCAGTGGCTGAGCTCAGTGTTCCGCAAGTGAGAAAAAAGACTGTGCATGTGTGTGCGGTTAGGCAAACTGAGTTCTTGTAGTTGAGTGCTTGTTCATGTGGAGCTGGGGCTGTGCATCCAATGGTCGGTCGGGCCTGCCATATAGTCTGGACGAAGAAGGGGAGCCTACAGGAGGAGTAATAGTAGAAGTTAGCATCATTTTTATAAATGGAGGGTAGCATTTTAATATACAGTACAATGTAAGCTGTAATATTATTGCATCTTTGAAAAAAAATATTAAAGGTGAACTAACCCTTTAAATGTTAAAATCTTGTTAAACATGAACTTCTATCACTCACTACTTGACTCTGTATTTTAATTGCTGCAAAATTGCAGTTAGTAAGCTACACTGTGGCATTTCAGCCGTAGTAGAGCAAGCTTCGTTTCCCCTATCAGAAAACAAAAATTTTGTTTAAAGGTTGGTGTTCAGTGTCTTTTTTTTTTCTGAACAAAGCTTGTGTTTCTGGAATTCCTCTGTAGTACTTAATTTATATGTCATATGTTGCAGTTTGTATCCTTTTTTCATTGCAACCATTATTTACTACCCTCTCCATCCATTTTCTTGGTACTAACATGTCCTTATGCCATTGTACAGAGAGTGTACAATATACCAAATACAACTGAAAGCTGTTAACTTTGACTTTGGCAGATATTTTGTATATTCGGTAGAGACTCTCTGTCCACAAGTATACTCACCATATCTCTGTAAGCAGTTTATCAGCAGAAAATGCCACATTTGTCTACATGACCTGCTTTTCTTGTATGTTATAATATGTTACAATTAACATGCACATAGCACGTCTTAGGTTCCTGGTGCCCTTTGTTAGCATCTTTTTACTCGTTTCATGTTTTCTTTGCCCTTTTTCTTCCACCCTCCCCCATTTATGTTTTTCAATTCTCTCCCCAGCACAGCGGTCGACTCTTAGGCCCCAAGCCTTGAACACATTTCCTTCAACAGCAGCTAATCCACACAGAAAATTGTTTTTAGTGGTGCTGATAATGGGATATAGCTGCCCCTCCTTGTCTTCTCAAGGGGTTCAGTTGGCATTAATATTTCATTATGTTGGTCCACAGCATGCAGATCGCATGGCAAGGACCCCCGTTCAATATCTCCCCCACTCATTTGTCAGATACAGCCTGATGATTGACAGTATGGAAAAGAATAGCAGAAGTGGATGAAATACAGTGAAATAAATTGATGCTGTACATACGATTAAAAAAAAGCAAGAAGGCTAGATAGGAAAACACCAATTTATTGCATGGATATAAATGTTTTTAAAAATATCCTTCCAGTAACTGTTCCTATACACTTAAGTGGGGAAAAATATGCAGTCAAATCTTACATTTTGACCAAAACACAACATGAAATAACTTATAAATGTGTAATTAACAGAATGAGCAGCACAGACGAGAAGACAGGAACTGCAGCACAGAGTGTATCACATGCTACCCACACTCCAAGTAACAGCCCTATGTGGGGGGAGACCTTGACTATGACAGTGAAAGAGGAAGAAGCAGATCAAGAAGGTACCTATCAATGCTCCCTCCTGATGTTGCTTTATTCAAAATCAGCATTTTTTAGAAATGGAACTATTTCTAGTAGCTTTGAAGTCAGCCTTCCCAAAAGTGATGTTATTGGTAGACCTGGGTGGGCTGAATCAGCTCCTGGCCTCTTGGATAGTCCAACAGCAAGCTCCCCCTGCCATAATTGCGAAGCAATTTGAAAAAAAGGGTCATGCACCTCTTTGGTGTGATTTAGATGCAGTAGGCAACCCAGAATAAGCTGCCCTACTGTAATGCATGGTAATGTGTGTAAAAACATGATATAATGTATGTGTGATGTGCCATCACTCAAGTGTGAACCCAGGATAAAGAGGTATAAGAGTATATTTCCAATGAGCACACATTTCGAGTTACTGTAATATTGTAGCAATTTAATAAAATGTTACTTCAACTTTTCTAAAGATACTTCTCTTTTATGTGATTGTCACATTTTTTGTCATTCCCACAGAGAGCTGTCCTTTTGTGTCATTCTAGTTGGGCAAGTGTAGGTGTAGGGACTATTCGGTAGTGTTATTTCTTTAACAAAAACATTCAAGAAGGTATTTCCTAGTAAAAGGTGCAACTATTTCTGTCTTTGGTTGCAAGATAAGGATAGGAGTCACAGACTTTTACAGCAATATCTGAAATATTTGATCAGGTGTAAAGACTATATAGAGGGCCAGATAACTATGATTGGCGCTTGTAGGGACATGCGAATTGTCACACATGGCATTTTATTTTGGCACATTGCATGTCAAATAAACTATTATGTTGCAGTGTATATAATTTATATGTTGCATACTAGAATGTACAACTGTCTTGCACCATCATCCTCTTGGGGTACTACTGCACACCTCTATTGCGCCAAATATTGACAAACTCATACCGTCATTTATTTGGCACAGATTTCTTGTGTGTTGTGTTTTATTTTTAATTTAATTCCCTTCAATTAAACTATTAAAGCCAGTTTCAGTTCCTTAAATTATAATATATATAATAGTTTACCTGGGCCAGTATGTTTTTTAAATGGATTGTTGGTCCCATATTGTAAATATATAATAATTTATACTTTGTTGTTGTAGATCTTATCCTGACTGTGGCTGATAATCCCTCCCAAGAATTTCTCCTTGACTACCGACTGCCCATACACTTGCTGCAACCCTTCCACTCGTATCATCTATGTTTGGTGCAGGTACTATAGGAGTGTGAGCTTATTTTCAGTATACATCCAAGACTAGTCCAAAATCCCCCATTACAGACAAAGAGTACCTGTTTTTCATGCTCAGCAGAGATACAGGTTTATTGGTTAATAACAATTCTAAAAGGATATTCTAAGCATATTAATTGCAAATTGGGAGAAGTTCTCTTTGACCTTTGAGAATACTCTTACCACTAGCTGAGAAACTGTGCTGTAGGGTAATTAAAATGTTCACCCTTTCATGTGGTGTGATGGACATACTTTACATGCTGAAAAGCGCAAAATGATTTATTCCCTAGTGATAAATAAATAATTTAAAATCATATGCATGAATTCTGTGATCCTGATATGTCATTTTCTCTTCTTAGCCACATGATCAGGGTGCCGGTGAATGCCATCTTTATGTCAGCATTGAACGCAGAAGTAGCTCTATAGCTCAACAGAGTGGATTCACCTACAGTGCTTTACAGGTGAGTTTGTCAGGTCAGAACCAGCCCATGTGTTGTGATTAGATCCTTATACAATATTTCCTTGGATTCCACAATAGGTTCTTCTTGTTGGGATAGAGTCTCCGCTTCAAGGACAGTCTCATCCACTTTTGGCAGTAGCACGAATTGTTCCCAACTACAAAGATTACAGGTATTAATGTTGTACCCAGTACATCACAGATAGAAACAATCAACATCTCTTTTTAATATCTGCAAAGATAATGATAATAAAAATATCATACATGTAGAATGTGTTGCCCTGTCTGAAGCAGACATGTCTGTAAACCAGTTCCAGGTCTATAAAGCTCAGTTATTGCATCAAATATACAGTATATTGTGTATATGTATGTATACATGCGTGACAATATATTAGGGCTGTCCAGATACCATTTTTTCAATACCAAGTACAAGTACTTTCCCTCAGGTACTTGCCGATACCAATTACTGATACTTTTTCTTAAAGGGACATGTGACATTTTTTCTAAAACAATAGGGCAGTTTCTTTATAATTATGAAAAACTGTAACGCAATCCATGATTATTCAGCAATGGAGAATGCAACCACCGATAGAGGACTACAGATCCCATCAATCCATGATTATACAGCAATGGAGAATGGCAACTTGCTAAAGAGGACTACAAATCTCAGCAATTGATGATTATTCAGAAATGGAGAATAGCAACGAACAATCATGGATTGTTGAGATTTGTAGTCCTCTATAGCCAGTTTCCATTCTCTATTGCTGTTTATTCATTGATTATACAGCAATGGAGAATGGCAACCAGCAATAAAGGACTGCAGATCCCATCAATCCATGATTAAACAGCAGTTATACAGGGCTGTCCGCGGTCTCACCAGGGCTGAGTTTGAATCTCACTAGGGCTGCATTTGAATCTCACCAGAGCTGCCTTTGGGTCTCACCAGGGCTGTCTTTGGGTCTCAGCAGAGCTGCGTGCAGATCTCACCAGGGCTGCGCATGGGTCTCACTAGGGCTGCGTGCAGATCTCACCAGGGCTGCGTTTGGGTCTCACTAGGGTTGCGTGCAGATCTCACCACGGCAGTGTTTGGGTCTCTATAGGGCTTTGCAGGTGCGTGCCAGGTTGAACGGGTGGGATCCGGGCTCATGCCGGGCTGTACAGGCAGGTGTGGGGCTGACTTGTGCTGTGCCGGCGCTGGGAAGTAGGAGGAGGCAATGTATGAAAATGCCCCGATTCTTAAAGCCGATACTGGCCCTTTACATTTTTAAACAATTTTGGCTGCCTGAGGTCCTGTGCTTGCTGGGGACCTTAGGCAGCCTGCTGGGGACCTCAGGTAGCCAAACTTGTTTAAAAATTTAAAGGGATGGCATCGGCTTTAAGAATCGGGGCATTTTTAAGAGTACAAGTACTAACCTTTAAATCACCTTACAAAATATACTTTGTAGATAAACCATTTGTCTATTATGTAGAGCCTACTGATTTTCTAGGATTATTCTCAAAATCCGAATTTGCGGATTTGGCAGTAATGGTTTGTCCAAATATAAGGAGATTGGCACATCAGAACTGGGGTAGAATTAAAAGCTGCACTTCAGGCAGATATACAAAAATGCCAATTCATGCAGTTATTTATTTATTTCAAAAAATTAAATATATTATTATTAAAGCCCAACCCCAGGTGAAATGTTTGGTTTTATTTGGGTAGAATAGGGAAGGCTTAGAACCTCTGTAAGATTTATAATCCATTTTCAGGATACTAGTTGTCCCTTTCCCAACCCTCCCTAATACCCTAACACCATTTTACTTACCAAAAGCCACAGTCTTCTTTGTTTACTTCTGGTTGGCTCCTTTTTTGGGGTGTCCACATCACTGCGTGCAGGACGTGGACACTTCCTATTGGCTGTCCAGTGACAGGATCCTCTCAGGATCCAAAGGAGGAGTGACATCATTGCAAGGGGATGGTTGGGGACTGGCTGGCTAAGGACCATCTGCTTTTCTGGATTAGTGGTACCTGGCACTTGGAAACGGGGCCAGCAAGGCACCTGGAGTGGGGACCTGGAGGAGGTGAGTATCACTTGCTTCCCCAGGTTAGGAAAACCACTGGAGAATGGGCTGGAAAGGAGAGAGGGTTTATATTTTGCGTGGAGTGGGGGTTTTGAATGCTGTCTGTTTCCCCCATAGAGGAGATTTCCCTTCACTTCCTGTTTTGTCTGACACTTATCACTAGGACAGGGAGTAAAGTGAAATCTTAACAATGGTAACACAAACTGCAATTGCAACCTGAAAATGGTTATAACCTTTCCCTTTCCCCAATTTACTAGAAAAAATGTTATAATGCTGTCTATGTGTACATTGCTGAATTTTCTTTTCACTTCCTATTCTGCCTGACACCTGTCAAATAGACAGGAGTTTAGAAAGACAAATCAGTTACATGTGTACACACTCAGCTATAAAAACCCAAATGAGATTCTAATCCTTACCCACTCTTTTCAAACTAAAACAATTGTACCTCAATTTGTCATCACATCTTCCACCTATGATACCCTGCATAGCAGCACTACAAATGGAAAACACATGGTCTGTACTAGAACCTAATCAGATTGTGCTGCAGTGCTCATGTGTTGGCAGTGAACATGCTTACGGGAGGAGATTGCAGGGTGAGCAGAGGGATAACCTAATCAGTCGGGTGAAGTTGCTTTGAATCCAGTCTTCAAGGAACAAATACCGTTATTATAATAATATCTTCTATCCAACAGCCAGACCCAGAAGCCTCCTGGTATGAGTGGAGTACCTCATGTCACAGCTAGTTTTCCAGATCCTCCAGCATCTTTATTCCTCATGCCACAGACAGCCACACAGGGACACCCACAGGTAATATTGATGTGAATAATCTATGTACAGTATATATGTGAATAATCTTTGTTGCTTAAAAAAACACTACCAATGTTGTTGTCTCTTTTAATGCCTGGATGTAAACCTCATGCTCTGCTTTTCTGTCACAGAACTCCAATCTCTGAAACTGTTAGCATAGAACACATAGTTACAGATTTCTTCACATCCCACATATCAAAGCAATTGTTTACATAGTGAAATATTTATGGAAACCTGTGCCTGTCCTTCAATCCATATTTGTAAGCAGCTACTTTTCACCATCTGGGAGTCCTTACAAATGGTTAGATGCTGGTTTTTGGGAGCGTGCAGTAATTCATGCTTTTCCTAAAAGGAGCTGGGATGATTGGACTCTCCCTTGCTCTACTCAAACTAGGCACAATGTTGTTAAATGGATATATAGAGAAATGAAGGAAATATATGTTTTTGGTTTATTTAAATTAAATTATTTAGAATTTTTACACTTTTATAAACTGTTTTTATGAATAACATTTTTAATAAATGTTTAATATAGGTTGCTTCCATGACACTGTTTACAGAGCATTTTGGACTTTCTAATAAGGCAGCCTAGCAGTAGCTGCTCACTTGTGGACTATCTATCTCTTATTGATACTCCATTTAGAGCTTAGTTAACTGGGAAGAGGTGTGTTCCATGTCTCAATCATTCAGCTGTGTGTGTACTTAAAAAAAGCAGTATGATCAGATATTTACTTGACTAAAAATTAAAAACAAACAAATGTTATCCGTCTTCTTCCTTAGTCCTAAACTAATGCAAACTGAACATTCTGTTTAAGGTAAGGGTTAGAATCAGGGGCGTAACCACAGATCATGGGGCCCCATAGCAAAACTTTGATGGGGTCCCCCAGCAACCTCCCTACTGTCATTGATATTAAAGACAGGTAGCAGGAGAGCTGCCTGCATAGTCCCTCCCCTGTATATCTGATGCCAGCTCTTCTTGATAATATTGTTCAGTGTCCGCAGCAATCCCTATTGGGGCCCCCTTCCACTCCCAGGCCCTATAGCAGCCACATGGGCCACTATGGCTATTGTTACGCCACTGGTTAGAATCAGGTTCCAATCTTCAGTCTTCTGCACTTGCTTTGTTATCCTTTCTGGTTTCTCTTTGCCAACTGTATGTCTCCTGTTTCTTTAGCTGTGTCTCCTCCGTTCTCTGCCTTGTGATAGAGCAACAAGGTGGTAATGGTCATTGTGGTAGCGAGCAAACATTACCCGTAGCGAACATAGTAGTTGGAAGGTTTAGGCCTGGTTCAGACCTGCGTGTCCCAGGAATGCGCGTTTGTGCACGTTTGCCGCACAGCCCCATTGATTTAAATGGGCTCATATACCCGTGGCAAACATGACAAAAAGGCTCCTGCACTATTGTATGCAACATGCGGGATGTGTTTTCTTGCTGCCATGTTTGTGTGCGTTTGCGCGCGCAGAAATACGGCAAAGAAAAGGCGTGGGATGCCATTAGAAATAAATAGGAATCGCAGGTGCGTTCTGTGTTTGTGCGCGTTTCCGCAAAAGTGCGGTGATCTAGCACAAAAACATGTGAATTGCTGCGCGTTCTCGGAATGTGCAGGTGTGAACTAGGCCTTCAGGTGTACATCACTGGCGCTGTGACCACTGTAATATGAGCTATGATGTGTCTAATTGTGAGTCAGATTATAAAGTTGGAAGGTACTAGTTTATAAACCATGATGGTGGTTAGGTAGACATCTCTTAAAAGTTTTCATCATCATAGAGTCACAAGCAGGGGTGGACTGGGACTCTAAGGCAGGGGTAGCAAAACGCTGGTTCTCCAGCTGTGGTGAAACTACAAATCCCATGATGCATCTCTCTCCGGGAGTCATGTCTGTGGCTGTGAGAATGTTGCAATGCATCATGGGATTTGTAGTTTCACGACAGCTGGAGGACTAGTATTTGGCTACCCCTGCTCTAGGGGACCACTAGGGAAAGGGAAATGGAGGGCTCAATTATGAAAATTATGCGTGGCTACAAAGCACTGCATATTAGATGTGGTTTAGAGGGGCATGGTTAAATAGAGTCTGAGTCTACTCACATGTTTGACACAGTCCTTGTACCCACATAAAACATAGGGGTCTATTCACCAAGCTCCCGAGGGCAGCCGAGTGAATGACCGATCTGAAGTGAAGTGAGCCGAACACTGTTCGGCTATTCACTTCAGGATGGTACGGCTGATTTCAGCCGTACATTGGCTGAAATCAGCCGTACATCGGCTTGCTTCGAGTGGCTTCGGGTTGGCCGAACATGCTCAGCATGTTCGGCCGACCCGAAGTACAGAAGGAGTTTGACTCAGCCGATCCAACATCTGGATCGGCTGAGCCGAACATTTATAGAGACCCAAACCTTACGTCAGGGGTCAGCAACCTTATCATTTTTACAAGCATTAGACAACCGATGTGACAGTGAACAATAGCACTTCGTAGTCTTACTTTTCAATTTTTGCACTCATAATTGTATTGCTAATAGCAAGTTTAACTTTTTATTATATAATAATTAATGAGTTTAACTTGCAATTAGCAGCAGAGCTGTGAGTTCAAA